TCTGATCTTCACTAATCCGCCATTTTTTCTCCGTTACAGAAAGCGTCTCAGATTCTGGCCAGAGGTGAGAGCTTTAATATTCTCTGCTGATGACAGGTGGCCCGGTTTGAGAGCAGATAGAACCGGTTCTGACCCGGTTCTCTCCTGCTTTGAGCTCTACACACTGGGTCCACTGCCCCTCATTAAAGGAGTTTCTAGAAACATTGGTTCTGATTGCTTCACCATGAAGGAAACAAAACTCAATGAAATGTGTGATTTTCTTTCATCAGTTTGAACAATCACACCAGATAACAGATGGATGCTTATTTCTCAGTTTCTCTCTACGACTCTTTGGACGACACCTGTGGAGAAGACAGAGGGATGGACAGAGGGACGGACGGAGGGACGGACGGAGGGACGGACGGAGGGAAGGATGGAGGGAAGGATGGAGGGAAGGATGGAGGTATGGTCATCTACCTGAAAAACCGCTTTAACAGAAAATCCTGACCAGAACCATCAGAGGGGCTGGAAGTCTGCTTCTGTTTATGGTTTGACTCCACCGGTTTGGTTCCCTAGCAGCCGAGGTCCGACCCGCTTCAGCCACTAGGGGTGCCAGACCTGTCGCTCCAGGTTTAGCTCCTCCTCTCACTTGTTGATTTTAAAACATGAGGCTCTGAGAAAGAAAAACCATGTTTTCTGAGGAGCTTTAAGGATGCAGGTTCTGGATTCCAATGTCAGCTTATCAATAAGAACAGAGGATTTATATTCCATTAGGTTTTAATGGTTTTGATCCATTGAAATGTTATATGCATTTGGACTGAACAAAAACATGATTTTGCATGTTTAACATGTTTACATTTACAAAGTTTCACTATCAGATTGAAACATTTTCAGCTTCAAAAGCTGCTGATCACTTTAGCTGAGCTGAGTCCCACCTGGTTTTTAGGTGGACAGTGAGCAGGTAGATCGCATCATAGCGTCAGACCGGGACAGTGTGAGAACAAACATCTGTGAACTTTTGAACCCTGCGGTTTCACCGTACAGTGTGAGCTGTAGCTGCGTGTAACGATTGAAAAAAAAAAAGAAAACAGGTGAACACATCAATCAGAACCTTTCGAAAAAAGTTAAAATTAATCCACTGGACTTTGTTTCCAGGTTTGAAGACGTTTCTCTTCCATCCAGGAAGATTTTTCAATCCAAAATGTCAGAAATAGCGTATAGTTCCAGGTTTTATCCAGCAGCCCAACAAAGCCTGGTTTTAGTTTAGAAAACATGCAAATAGAAACGGATGAACGGGTCCCCCCCTTTGGAATGGGGGTCGTTTGGCTTCTTTGTTAGCCTGCAATTCCCGATGTTGCTCTATGGCTACGTTCACACCGCAGGCCTTGATGTTTTTTGCCGTTCACATTTCCAAATATATGCGACTTGTACGTGATCTTCGGTGTAAACTACATTCATACAGCTTAAGTGTCCCGCATGCGCAATGATGTCACAAGCCAGCGTGCTCTGTGTTTACGGAAGTAAACATGGATGTAGTGCCGGCACGCATCTAGCGATCCTTCCAAACCTTAAAATCTCAATTTTTTCTAGATGGTTAAACATAAATACTGCTCTCCGCATCATCATCTGCCATGGTTGCTGTTTTTGTTGTCGCTTCTTCACAGCAAGACCCAGAATGGTGACCTTTGTCGGCCTGGTCGCATTTAAAAAGATCAGATTCGTATCGGATTCAGGACCACAGAGCCAAGTGGCCTGGGTCGGATTGGAAAAAATGGGATCTGTGTTGTTCAGTCATGAAACGATCAGATCCAGGTCACATATGAGCAAAAAAATCAGATTTGGGTCACTTCAGGCTGCAGTGTGAACGTAGCCTTAGTCTCTGAAATGGGGGTCATTGGGGGTCATTGTTGGCCTGGCTGAACAGGCGAGATGTTCTGGTCCCCTGTACGGGGGTGGGGGGTTGCAATGATATTGGGAAGGAATCAACTCGCAACAACGCTGCATCAGTCAGAACATTTTTAGTTTCAAATAGAGGGGCACAAATTGGTCCTGGAAACTTCCTAAATGGGAGGTTAACCACGGTGGGAAGCCTGTCAGGGTTAACAGTTATGCTACGTTCAGGCCGCAAGCAGCAGAAGCAGCAAGCTAACATGCTAACTCCATGGTTGATTGATCAAGGCCCAGTAAAAGGTCCTGCAGGGCGTTTTGAGCTTCAGAGCATCTGACGCGCTTC